TCACTGGTGAGACCATGTGATCCTGGGCTTTTCTGTGGTGTTTTTTTAAATTTCTTATTTTGGTAATTTAGTGTCTTCAGTTATTTTTTGGTTTTTTTTTTTTTGTCTTTTGTCTTTTTCCGTGTCCGGCAATGGATCGCAACCCTCAGTGTTGCCCCCGTACCGGACCGGGGACCGGCAACGGGATCACAACCCTCGGTGTTGCCCCCGCGCCTCGCTCAGCCAGTGAGCGGGAACCGGTCTGTATGTGGGATCCGAACCCTCGGGCGGGAGCGCCGCCGCGCTTCCCAAGCGGCGCACTTATCCAGTGCGCCACCGGGCCAGCCTTCAGTTTTGTTTTGTTTTGTTTTGTTTTTCTTTTTTTTTTTTTCTTGGTCAGTCTAGTTAAAGTTTGTCAATTCTGTTGATCTTTTCAAAGAACCAACTTTTGGTTTCATTGATTTTCCTATTGTTTTTCTATTTTCTATTTCATTTCTTTACACTCTAAACTTTATTGTTTTCCTCTTTCTACTTGTTTTGGGTTTAGTTTTCTTTTTTCTAAGGGGGAATTTAGATTATTGACTTGAGATCTTTTTTATTATAGGCATTCACAGCTACAAATTGTCCTCTAAACATTGCTTTTGTTTCTTAAGGTGCATGATTAGGTTATTGATTTGACATGACCTTTTTCAACATAGACATAGCTATGTGTTTCCTTTTCAGCCCTGCTTTAGACATCTCATAAACTTTGATTTTTTTTTAATACTTATTCATCTGAGATATTGTCTAATTTCCCTTGTGATTTCTTCTTTGACGCATTGGTTGTTTAGGAATGTGCTGTGTAATTTCCACACATTTGGGAATTTATGAATTTTTTCTTTTGTTGATTTCTAATTTCCATTGTGTTTAGAGAGCATACTTTGTATGATTTCTGTCTCTTAATTTATTGAGCCTTGTTTCAACAGCCTATCATTTGGTTTATGTTTAATGTGCACTTCTGTTATTGGGCAGAGTGTTCTATAAATGTCTGTTGGGTTTATAATATTGCTCGTCTTAATTCTTTGTTTATCCTTTTTCTTTCTTCTTTTTTTTTTTTTTTTAACCATACCTTGTCCAGTCCAAACCTTGCTACCTTGCCAATTCTGCCTAATTGTTCTATCCATTAGAAGCATGGTCCTCCCAACATCTTGATTTTGGACTTCTAGCCTCCAGAACTGTGAGACAATTAATTTCAGTTTTAAGCCACCCAGTTTGTGGTACTTTATTATGGCCGCTCTAGAAAACTAACACATGCCCCTTTCTCTCTCTTCTCTCCTTCTGGTGCCTGGTACATGTATGTTTGTGCATGTGATAGTGTCCCACATTTCTCTGAGACTCCATTTTTCTTCATTCTTCTTTCTGTTCTTCAGATTGCACAATCTCTATTGCTCTACATGTTTGCTTATTTTACCTTTTGTCAACTCAAATCTGCTGGTAAGCTGACCTCTCATGAATTTTTCATTGTAGTTATTATACTTTTCAACTCCAGAATTTCCATTTGGTTCTCTTTATAATTTCTATCTCTGTTAATAGTCTATATATGCAGACACCTAGTCATCATACCTTCCTTTAAATCCTTGGACATGGTCTCCTTTCGTTGTTTGAACATCTGTATAATGGCTGCTTTGAATGTCTTTGTTGGCTAAGTCCAACATCTTGGGCCCCTTGTTTTTATTGCCTGCTTTTTTTTCCCCCCTCAGTAACACTTTCCTGTTTCTTTGTATGTCTCATAATTTTCCTGTTGAAAACAGACATTTAGATACTATATTGCAGCAACTTTGGATATTGATCTCTCCTCCAGGGGCTTGATGTTGTTTGCTTGGGTGTTCATTTATTTGATTAGTGAGTTGGCTGAACTAACTCTGTGAAGTCCGTTTCCCCCACATTGTATAGCCTCTGATTCCTTGCTCATTTTTTTCCTTGTCTTTATCTCTTAGCTTCGCTACCTACGGGTTACCCTTGGCTCACATAAG